ATTTGTCCCTTTAATGGCTTAATAATTTGAAAGGATTACTGTACTGGCTAATAACTGTAGAAAGATAGGGGGTGGCTAGAAGTTGGTTACTGACAGCATGCCTCTGGGATTTATATTTGTCCCAGCACCTTGCTTTTTCTCTCTGCTTCCTGGTTGCCAAGAGTAGAATAGCTTTCCTTCTCCATGCTCTTCCACCATGATGATCTCCCTAATCCTGGGCCCACAGCAATGGAGTGAGCTGACCATAGATCAAACCTCTGAAACCACAAGCCCCAAATTAAACTTTTCCTCCCCTAAATTGTTCTTGTTGGGTATTTTGTTCACAACAATGAAAGGCTGACTAATGTACCATAGTAGATTTTTTAAAAAATTATATTGCATAGGTTAAAAAAAAACCCTACAAATATTAGCCAAAAGAATGCTGATATATGGGGCTGTAGCTGTAGCTCAGTGGTAGAGCACTTGCCTAGCATGTGTGAGGCACTGGGTTTGATTCTTGACACCACAGATAAATAAAATGAAAGTCCATCAACAACTTTAAAAAAAAAAGAAAACTTAGAAAAGAAAAGAATGCTGATATGACTATACTATTCTCCGCTCCCCTCCCACTCTTATCTGGGTCGGAATTATTTTCCTTCTGATTTTTCAGGTCACTAGCTCTCTTTAGCTGTATCTAATCTGCTATTAAATCCTGTTTTTGTTCTCTTTTGCTATATTACCATCTACCCCAAAATTTTGTGTCCTAAAATAACTGCCACTATTTCCTTGTTCAAGATTCTGTAATTTGGGTAAGGTTCAGTGGGAATAGATTGCCTCTGCTCCATATGGCATTGTCTAGGGTAATTGAACTAGAATTAAAGAATCCAACATGGCTTCATTCATTTGTCTGTCATCTCAACTAAAGGGATTGAAAGAGTTGGGAACCATCTGGGCCTCTCCCTTTTCACTTTCTCTCTCCAGTATTTCTTTTTCCAGGAACTGTCTCTCTGCATGTGCCCCACTCCCTCGCCATAGCAGCAAGTGGCGAAAGTAATAGAAATGGATTCTGATGCAAAGTCTAGGTAGCTCTCTTATAACATGCTGTGTGTATGTGCTCGGTCAACATCAGCTTTTCCTGACTCCCTTTCCACAATTCTTTATATCTCACCATGTTTACAACAAAGATAACAATCCTAACATTTAAAAATATGTATTTATTTTTTTAGTTGTAGTTGGACACAATACCTTTATTTTATTTATTTATATTTGGTGTTGAGGATCAAACCCAGGGCCTCGCATGTACTAGGCAAGCCTTCTACTGCTGAGCCATGACCCCAGCTTACACAATACTGACATATTTGATGAGTGCTCTTCTAAGGGCTCTATATGTATCATTACATACATAATTCTGGGCAAAGGAATAGATTTTTGGCAATTGAAACATCACAGAATGGGTGAATTTGGGGGCAGGATTTGAAGGAACTATTAAGTCATTAAGTCAAGATATGAAAAGAGAAGGTGAAAATAGGAGCAGATCAGCAATATATGTGGATATGTATGAGCAAGAAGAGGATGGCCAAAAAAAAAAAAAAAAAAAAAGATCAAGGAGCCAAAATCAGGGAGAAGTATTAGCTCACAAGGATCAAGTGATCAAAGGTAGTTGATATTATTTCCATTTGTGAATGGATTTTCATCTAAGTTTCAGGAATATAGTTAACTTTTTCTATTTTGATACCAGCAAATAGACCAGTTCCTGGGGCCACACTGATTAAACTAAAACATATCAGGCTCTTTTAACAATTCTAATAATATCTCTAAGGGGTTACACATACACATTATCTGCTAAATATTTGAATAGAGTATTGTTCTGGAATAGCCACAGCATCAGTCTTTTGCAGAAAGCACAGAAACCAGTCTGAAAGCTCTATCCACAGTGAAAGCCACAGGACAATGCTTCATCCTCAGCAGCAATGTGTTGACAAGGTGGTCTGTATCCAACCTGGCTGCAGAGATAGATGGGCTTTTAGCCAGGCACACTAAAAGATTCCTGATAATCAGCCAAAGGGTACCCATGAGGGGATCTCAAGTGATTGTGTAAAGTCTGACTTGGTTAGGGCATGAGAGACAGGCAAATGATATGTGCTGAGCAGTCAGACAAGGCTCAATTGAAAACATGAATCCAAAGCAAAAACTGGGAGAAATTTCTACCTTCCTAAAATAACCAAACTCTGACAATTACCCCATTTTTAGCCTCTTTCTTCAACCACTCTACAGGCTCCTTCTCCTCATTAAAAACTCAAATTTCTCCTATCTTCAAAAACCAATCACCACAGAACAATTCCCACTTCACGCTTTCTTACTACTCTTTCTGCACTGTTGGGAATGAGCTGTCTATACTTCTTGCCTCCACATTTTTGCCTCTCACATCTCAAGTCACCAAGTCTCTGGTTTCTTTCCACTACTGTTTAGTTAAACAGTTCCTGGTAAGATCACCAATGACTTCTCAATCACTATATTCAATGGATTCATCTTTGTTGTGTGTTACTTGACCTCCCTGTGGCATCTACCTAGATATTTCCTTCCTTCTAGAAATTCTTTAACTCCTTGGCTCTGATAACATTCCCTTCTCCTGCCTAATACTAAAATGTTGGAGTTACTTTTGGACTTATTCTACAGTCTCCTGAGCATCCTCTGTCATGGTTTCAATCACCACTTGTATATTGACATCACTCAAATCTCTACCTTCTGCCTTGACCCCTTTCTCTAAGCTGCATGTTCAGCAACTCACTAAATATCTTCCTGGGTGTCCCATGGAAATCTCAACACATCCAAAATACAGTCATGTTCTCCAAACATATTCATTCTTCATGGATTTCCTCGCCTTGGTGAATATCAAAACTAATAATCCTGTTGCTTAAGCCAGAAATCAGGGAGTTATAATTGACTCGGTATTATTCTTCCTATCCACCTACCACCCAATGAGTCAGCAAACAGTCTCAATCCTTGACTTCTCTCTCCTGATGAAGGCCCTCAACTGGGATCCTGCCTCCAGTCTCTCACCCTCAAATCCACCTCCACACTGTCCACCAGAGTGATTTGTCTAAACCTAAACTATGATCATGACACTCCCGGGTTCCAACCACCACAGCTTCCAAACTAACCATCTTTTCCCTTTCAGTTCCTTGATCTGACCACTTGGATGGGACAACTAGGACTTTGGCAGCTGGTCAGAGGGGTTTGGCTTTGATATAAAATATAGGAACCACCCTACCAGTTCATATGGAGGTTGTGACACAACAGCTACACAAGGCAGGTTCTAGAAGTGAAAGACACATTAGCAGACCATCATAGGAGGCAAAAGGACCAAGAACAATCTTCCACAGTGAGAAGAAAAGAAAAAGTGAAGCTGTGGGACAGGCAGAGAAGGGTAACTGCCTAAAAAGGGCAAATCTTAAAGAGAAAATAGTAAGGATATGCATTAAAGTACTGCCCAACCACAGTTAACAAACAACCCACAGGTTGTCTAAAACATTACAGCTCATTATTGGAAGCCCAGCACCAAGAGCAAGGGTAAAACACAATTCTACAGGGCAAGGGAGGGAGATGAATGCTGGGGGAAAATCTACCTTCTGTAGGAGACAGCACCGGCAAGAAAGCCTAGAAGAGGGTAGTTTACAAACCAGAATTGTCCTTGTGACAAAGTGAAGGCCACAAAAAGTCAGCTGCACTCAGGAGCAGTACCAGGCGACCTCTTAAAGAAAGTGGGCTTTGGGATGATGAAAGAAGCAGAATTCATTCACTGAGCAGACTCAAAAAATTTCCTTGAATTATTTTATTTACTTCTTACAAAGAGAAGTGTTAATGAAGAGTCTTGCTCCCAAAATGACTTTGAAGGCAGTCAGTTATGGTGTTCACAGTAAAATAACGGTAAGGCACATGCTGTTCTGGACCTAATTAACTGCATACAGAAATTACCAGAACCAGATGCCAGTTAAAAAAAGAAGAAGAAAGAAAACCAAAACAAAACATTGTCCAAAATGTTGCCAGTGTTGAAAACTAGTGATCTCTCTTAAGTCCTTTTCACAGAAACTGCTGGCCTATGAAACCCACACAGGGAAGCATAACCATATGGACTTTGACTCCTGAAGGTCCACGTTCGAAACCCGACTATGCCCATTTGGTGAAGGAGAAAACCTCCCAAGGCTTGGGAAACAGTTTGCCCTGAGTGGCCCATACTGCATTGTTAAGAGCAGACCCGCAGCAAGAACCTTACAAGGTCGCCAACTCGCAACCGGTGCTCCCTTTCCTACAGCTTGAAGCCCAGACTGGGTGCTCAAACCTCCTGGAGCGCCTTTGTCCCCCTCTTCAGCGAGCCCCGCGGAGGTGGCCAGTCGGGCTGAGCAGCCGAAGGCGGGCGGGGGCGGAGGCGGGGCGCTGGCGCCCCGAGCCGCGGAACAGCGGGGAGGGGGCGGCGGGTGGCGATTGGCTGGGCTGCTGCAGGCCGCTCAGGGCCGAGAACAAAAGAGAGCTGGCGGCGGGCGTCCGTGGAGTAGTGCTCCCTCCCGCCAGCACGGCTTCGTGCTGGGAGGACGCGCCCACCGCCCGCGCGCCCGCCGAGCACCGGGCCGGCGCGCTCGGTTTCTCCGCAGAAGCCGGCCGTGCACCTAGGAATTAACCGGTGGCGCGGGCGGGAGGGAGCGGAGCGGGCGGGGGGGATGCTGAGCGCGCGCGAGAACAATAATAAGATCGTGTTTGCGGTCGCTGCCCGAGGAAGAATTCGGAGGCGGCGCGAGTCCCGGCGCTCGCGCGGCGCCCGGGAACCGGGAGGCAGGCCGGCGGCGGCATGAGGCTAGCGGCGCGGCGCCTGTGAGCAGCGCGCGGCGGCGGCGGGCGAGCACCAAGCGGCCGGGGCTCCCCTCCCCCGCTGCCGGGCGGTGATTTGCGGGCCCGCTGAGCCCCCCGCCCACTCGCCTCGGCCGCCGCCTCGCGCTTCCCCTCGTCGGCGCGGCCGCCCGCCCGGCTCGAGGCCCGCGGGAGCGCGGCGCAGCCCTCGGCCCGCGGGGGCGGCCTCCTGGCATCTTCGCGGCGACCAAGGACGACCCGGGAGGGGAGCCTCCGGGATGGCGCGTCCGCGGCCTCGCGAGTACAAAGCAGGCGACCTAGTCTTTGCCAAGATGAAGGGCTACCCGCACTGGCCGGCGCGGGTAAGTACTGTGACCGCGGCCCGCCGCCCACCATTTTCCCTTCATGATGGCGCGCCCGCCCCTTCCATCTCTCAGCCTGAGCTGCTGGTCAGGGCCGGCCGCGGCGGCAGCAAAGGCAGGCGGCGCTGCTCGAGGAAGACGAGACCGAGGCGAGGACTCCCGGCCGCGCCCGCCTGCCGCCATCCCTCCGCCCGCTTCGAAGGCGGGTCCGGTCCCTAGGCCCGGCGCGGCAGCCCTCCCGGAAAGCCGCGGGACTGGGTAGAGGGCCCGGAGAGGCGGCGGCCTCCGCAAATGCTATTGGCAACGCCGGGGTCCGGGCGGACGTCGGGCGGGCAGGGAAACGTAGAGCAAGTGGCCGTCCACCAGCCAGCAAGCGCTGCAGCGAATCCTGGAAAGGGGTAGTGGTCATCCAGAGGCTAGCAGGGCCTCTTGGCAGGCGTTCATGCATCTCGGTGCATCCTGCGCCTTCCAGACTTGTTGAGTTTCCCCTGAGCGCGATTCTGGTGCCCGCCTGCCCTGGCATTGTCCCGGGATGCTTGCCTCCCTGGAACCTACCGTTCTCTTGAACTGACATCAAATAGAGGAGAGCTTGCAGTCTTTCACTGACTGGTGGCTCCTTGTGCCATTTCACCTCCATATTTGTTTTAGGTCGATTCCAAACCTTATTCTTGGCCTCCGCTATAATCCACAATAGCTCTCTTCCTGTGTAACAAGGTTGTCTCTGGGCTTTCTCTAGAAAGCATCTGCATGTATTAGATAGAATTAAACATTTTTTAATTAGGCCTTTTGAGGAAGAAGGACAACAATTTTGTGAGAGTTGGCAACTGAATACTTGAAATAAGAAATACAGTGAGAAGGAGAAGCAAGACATTTTGGAGACTGTATTGGTATTCTTGAGGAAGAAGGAAAAAACGACCTAATTCTAGAGTGTGAGCACTAGAATGTTGTTTTGTAGTTAAGTAAAGATAACAAGACCAAGCTGGGGAAAATATACCCATTCACAAAAGGAAGTGACATCATGGGTGGCCACACTGAAATGTAGTGAAGTTGAGGCAGTAGTTGGACATAACCACTTTTTTTAAACATTTGGTTTGGCATGATTGTAAATGGAAAAAAACACTGGGCCAGGAATTGGGGGACCTAGTATCTGGCTCAGGCTCTGTTATGTATTAATCATTTCAACTGTCTGCATATCCATTTCTGCAAGTATAAAATGATCATCTCTAGGATTCCTTCCAACAACCCTGGAAATCAGGAGGATAAAACAATCATATTGAGGTTCAATTAGGCTCTGGATATAACTTATCCATGTTTGAACTGTGGGCTCTTAAATAAGGCAAAGTTTTCAATGTAGAGCTATTTGGATTTAAAAATATTGTTTAGTACTATATTGCTAGAAGGAGCAAGATTTGTGGCTTTAGGAGTACTTTAGGAAATCCCTGAATAAATCTGTCAAAGAAGAAATATACAGCTTTAAGATGTTATATGATTGTACGTCTTCAAAAGTGAACTAAAGGTTGTCATCATCAGTTGGCCATTCCTTCTAGTTCAATGGTTTTATTTAATCTTATCTTTGAAAAAATATCTTCTGAGGGTCAAAAAGAAAATAGACTAAAATTTTCATTAACATGCTGCTTGCACAGGTTGGCCACCTGTAGTAATTTGTGAAACAGAAAAGAGCTATAGGAAGTGCTCCTAACTGTATAGCTGATAGTACATAAGATTCCCAAAAGTTATAATTCCAAATCAAGGCAAAGTGGGGAACCAAAATCCATCAGGTTTTGGAGTGTTGTATTTCTTATTTTGAGACAGGGTCAAGTTAAGTTACTTAGGGCCTTGCTAAGTTGCTGAGGTTGACTTCAAACTTTTGATCCTCAGAGTCACTGGGATTATTAGTCTTGCACCACCAGATCTGGTTCCATCCAATTCTTAGATAAAATAAAATAGATACAAAGGGAAAAAAATCTGTCTATTCACATTTGCCATGACCATCTCAAGAACCTAAGACTTTTTAAAAGTATTTTATAATGAGTGGCATGTTAAAATTTTCAAAGAAAGGATGCTTCATAATGTTCTCATCTTATTTTCATCTCAATACTATGAGGCATTATCCCCATTTTACACTTAGTTTTATCTTTGTAAATGAGTCTATAAAATACTAACTGGAAAGAAATCCTGTGTTTTCAAATTTCAAGTACTCACTTGATGTGGTCAGTCATGTTGGAATCAGATTCTCTATGGCCCCTAGGAATCAAACCTGGAAGGAAAAGCATGGGGAGACAGATTTCAGTTCATGCTGTAGGGAAGAGCTTTCTAACAGAGCTGGTCCATGCAGGAATGAAAAAGCAACTTCCTTGCTTTAAGGAAGATGTTTGGTTCCGGGCAGCCCCTTGTGAGGCACATAGGTCAAGAGGATTCAGAATTTAGGCAAATTTAATTCAGTCTTTGGCTGGGCCTCACACTTTTGTGACCCTGGGCACAAATATTCTGTAATCATTTCTGAGTTTCAGTTTACTAGTCTAAAATGAGAATAATTCTCACCATTCAAATAGTAAAGTAGTCCCCCCACCCTTATCTGTGGTTTCACTTTCCACAGTGTAAGAATACAGTACTGTATCATAAAGTATTTTGAGAGATCACATTGAAATAACTTATTGCAGTGTACTGTTATAGTTGTTCTATTTTATTATTGTTGTTAATTTCTTATTGTGCCTAATTTATGAATTAGACTTTAATCATAGTTATATTTGTACAGGGAAAAAAAAAACAGTATATTTAGGATTTGATACTATCCACAATTTCAGGCATCCACAGGAGGTCTTGAAACCATGTGGTTAAGAGAGGACCATTATCAAAAAGCACCAAGTAATAGTGCTGGAATGTTTCTTTTTTTCCTTTTTGAATTTCTAACTTGCTTTTGTATTATTACACTATTTTTAAAATATTATTATTTTCTCCACATTTTATTATGAAAATTGTAAGCATACAGAAAAGTTGAAAAAATATACAGTAAGCCCCCATGTATCATTTAGATTCTGTAATTAAGGGTTTTTTTTTTTTTAAAAAAAATAACCATATAACTGTGAACCATTATTATTTATTTATTTATTTGTGTGTGTGTGATGCTGAAGATTGAACCCAGAGCCTTGGGCATACTAGGCAAGTACTCTATGACTGAGCTACATCTTCAGCTATAATTTTTACTCTGTTTGCTTTATAGCATCTGTTCATATACTCATCCCTCTATTCGTGCACTAGTCTATGTTTTAATACATTTTAAAGTAAGATGCATATATCTCTATAATTTACTCCTGGACACTTCAACATGCATGTCATTAACTAGAGGTTAATATTTTTTATAGGTCATTTTCTTCTGAGGTAAAATTTACGTAAAATGAAACATACTTAAATGTACCATTCTGTGAATTTGACTGATGTACATTCTGGTGACCTTGGTATAGAGTAGTGCCAGTATTTAAGAAAGTTCCCTCATGCCTCTTTCCTGGTGAATTCTTGTTCTCCTGCCTTTTCCTCCCCCACTGTTCAAGTATGTTATTTTAACATTAAAATAAAAAGTTGACTATTTCTATGGAATATACTTTATTATGTACAGATTTAAAAATTAGATGTTTGCCTATGTCTAAGATTTAGCTAGTTTAATACTAAAATACTTAGACTAAAAACATGAGTGTCTGAAATCTTGATTGTGTACCCAGTTGGTTTAAAAAAAAAAAAAGCTGAGCTTGTGTTTCTAAGATATGTAAAGTTATTTTAAAATTGTGTGTACCTGTGCTTTGTAATACTGTTACATACATTATAAAGTAGACAAAAAAGAAACTGAAAGCAATGTATAAGTAATATTACATGTTTTAAATTTTTTTAAAAATTATTTTTTATTAGTTGTTCATGGATCTTTATTTTATTTACTTATTTATATGTGGTGCTGAGGATCGAACCCTGAGCCACAACCCCAGCCCCATGTGTTTTAAATTTTTTATTGGCAAAAATATCACTAACAGTAATAGATTACATCCATATTCTTAAAAGTCTTAGTTTTTAGAATGTTTTTTGCCTGCTTCTTGTGAGATGTGATTTAGATAGATGGTCATCACTGGGCACACACCTGTTGTCTCAGCTACTCGGGAGGCTAAAACAGAGGATCACTTAAGCCCAAGAGTTCAAGGCCAGCCTGGCAACATAGTGAAACCTTGTCTCTTAAAAAACAATAAATACTTTATATGAGAACTCTCAGACATTACTACTAGGAAATTGGTATAATCACTTTAAAAATCTGGCCTAATCTACTGAAGTTAAACACATATCCTACTTTGTGACCTAATGGTTTGTTCTAGCATACACCCAAGACAAAATGAGTGTTTACATCCACCAAAAGACTTGTACAAGAGTGTGCATACATAGCAACTTTACCCATAATAATAGAAGTCTAGAAACAATTCACATGTTCACCATCAGGAGAATAAATAAACAAGTTGGTAGTAAATTCATTCAATAGAATACTTCTTTGCAGCAAAAAGGAATATAATACTTATGCTTGCAAAATATAAGGTTGTGTGAAAAAAGTCAGATTCAAGAGAGTACATTTGATATGGTTCTATTTATGTGATATTCAGAAACAAGCAAAACTAACCAATGGTAATCAGTGGATAGAGAGGAGTTACTGACTGGCAGGAGGCACTAGAACTATATCTTGATCTGAATGGTGGTTGTATGGGTGTGTACATTTTTAAAAACTTATCAAGCAGCATATTTAAAATTTGTGTACTATACTGTGTAAGTTATGCCTTAATTTTAAAAACACAAGACTAGAGGAAAGAAAAATCTAATACTGTAAGCTTCTCTGTAGGTTGGATTTCACCATTTTTATTTTCATTGGGCTTTTTTTTCCTCCAAGTCCTCTGTCCAAATTGCATCTTCTTGTCCCTTTTCACTATTTTAGAAACTTCAGTTAAGGCTGGGAATATAGCTCTACCGTTCTATAC